TCTATTCTCGAATAACCTCCCATTTCACATACGGACCCCATAAGGGAGACTGTTCCAAACGAAGAAATCGTCTGTGGTCAAACGGTCGACAAGAGGTTGAAGCTCCGGAAGAACGTGGTTCCGGCTGGAGCAAGAATCTGGACGCTCGGTTGGCGCAAACCTTTATCGTCCTGTGCCACGCGACCTGACCTGACCTGATTTGACATTCATCAGGCGCGTAAAATGAATTACTCGTTGCACTCGTTTTTGCTGTTATTATTGGGGGGATATTGTTGTGGCGATATTATTCACTTGAATTCATCCAATTGGAAGGCAATTCTAGATGGAGAGTGGATGGTAGAATTGTAAGTTTTCGTTGCCGATTTTATTTTTTGTGCTTACAAGCTTACGTTAGTGATGTACCTTAATTAATTTAAATAATTGCCATTTTTATTTAAGACTTGCAAATACCCAATTATTCGCTTTCTATCGAAGCGTAAAGTCGTTATANGTTTTGTATTGTATTCAGCTTTTGCTAGCACTGAAGCTTACATTTGAGTTAAAAACAATATGTACACCAACTGTCACGAAAGGCATTCATAGAATAACATCTTACTTCCAGTGACTGACATATGTCCTTGCGATTTCTATGTTTTTGAAATAGCCGTGTTCAGTGGTATTCACTCAGACTAAAGGTGGTTGCGGCTGCAGTGGGTGCTCTTTGCGTTGAAGTTGGTGTATACTGAAACCGATGTCAAACGTGGTGCAGTCGAAGCCCAGGCAGCACAAGGGGATGATCAATCTTCACATGAGCATCTAGGTGCTCTCTCTGGGCAAATAATGAGTTCCTAATTTAAATTGAGACTTGGAAACTGAACTGATTACACAAACACCGTAAGGCATGTGCGCAAGAATGCCCCAGAGCTATGGCACCAGATCAGTCAGAAGTGATCACCCAGATTCTAGAGAACAAAAGTTCCCCGAAAGCGATAATTGCTGGTCAAACGAGACAGCCTAAGTGAGCGAAGGGTAAACTACGAGTAGTATTTAAACTATAGAATGGATATCACTGGCCTGCCAAAATTGCAGTCCTCATCTGATTGGTTAAGTCAAGTAACGCTTTTTGTAGATCATCTTCTGCGGCGAGGTCGAAGATAAACGGAGGGACAGGAAATGAGAGTGGAAGTTCACCACAGGCCTTAACCTCCCCCGAGGTGTGGCGGTTGGGTGCTTTTATTAGTAGAGCATATTTCGGAGGTACTCCGTACCTCAGCAATCAGTTTCGATGGATTCGAAGGCATTATGGTTTCCAAAACATAATAGTTCGTTGTCTGTATGTGTGGCGGTGTTTTAATGGCTGACGAAGAGTGAGAATTTGATGTATGCAATCACGGCATGCACGAAACCCGGTCTGCTCTTCGCAGATCTATCTTTTGCGAAGTGGGTTTAGTCTGCCTTGTGAAACATGCTAACGGTTTCAGTGCAACTAAAATCAGAATTTCGCCCTTGCAGTGGAAACAGGCGTTGCGACAGTCCCTGACGTGTGTAACAATCGATTCTCCCCATGTGTGCGGTACACTTTCAGTTTCCCAGATCTTCGAGAACAGTCTGGTAAGCTGTCTTACGCGAGCTTCTCCACCATCTTTGAATAGGGCAGGTGGTAGGTTGTCTAATCCAGCCGCCTTGTGCCTTTTCATGACTTGGAGTTCATTTCGGCTCTCCGCTTCTTCGCGAAAGATAATTAAACATGGGTCACACGCAATGCGAGATCGAATGCGAAATATTATTTTTCGTAACCTCAGAGCCGGTCATCCGTTTTATCAGGTTTGAGCGAGAATCCAACAGAATTTGAATACAAAACAACTTCAAGATACTGAGGTTGCTTTCAAGCACTTCAGCTCTTATAGATCGCTGCCTATGGATGGGCGTAAACTCAATGGGACCTAGTCATTTGCTGTTGGTTTGTTCGAGTATATACCACAGAGATGTCATTTTATCATGTTCATCAAGAGTAGAGGAAGCCACAAGAGGTAATGTTACAATCATACCGGACTCAGCTACTTGGAGTCCACCAGCGCCGAGAAGAAGCGCAGGGAAAGTTAAGCATTCATCAGCATCAGGACTCACCATAAAGAGAAAGGTTGGATAGAAAAATGAATGTCCACCTAAAATTTCACTGATGTCTAAACCGATGGCAGGTAAACCCACCGCTTTCACTGAATCGAGAGCGCTGCGGAATAAGTAACTCTGGCCCAAGGCAAATTAGTCCGATCTGAAACAAAACGCCAAGAGGCCGGTATGATCGGCGATATAACAATCTTCAGCCTAACGCAAGTAAATCTTGGGGAATTTACAACTAGGGCCTTCGGCTAGGCAAAGCCTGGCCCGCAAGACAGTAAGGCGATGTCCATCTCAGCGAATCATACGCCCTTCGGACGAGGTCAAACGTCCAAGGTGCCCAGTACACCTCAATGTACATGCATTTTCTTGATTACTCTGTATCATTAATCCATTGAACTTTTCATTTTTGTCTTCGATCCTACTTTCTACCTTTCCTGTCTTTCTCATAATGTTCGTCCAAATGGGCAGCCGAAAGATAGCAACCAAAACCGGGGCACTATGTTGCATGGTTAATGGTTGTACAAACTGAAACTGAAGAAAACAATGCACCTTCAAGCTGGTGACCAATGTCCCCAACCAAGGTTTGGGTATGTGGTTCGTACGCCTCTTCTTGGTTCGTTTGGAATCAGTTTCTTTTCAAGCCAACTCCCGTATGTGAACTGCCAGTGGGTCGCCAACTCAGTTAGTCCCGGGTGTTGGCTTTTCGTTCGCTCACTTTAACGTAGAAACATTGCTGCGGGA